TTTAACAAAATTGAATTTTATAGCTAAAAAAAAAAAGAAAAGGAAGGAAAGAACTGATAATGAAATGGAATGAAAATTACTGCTACATTATCTCATAATATTTTCAAACAAATAAACAAACAAGTAAACAAACAAAAAAGAATTAATTAATATAGCTTTTTTTTTTTTTTTTCTCCATCAATAAAATTTAATATTACATATGAAAATGATAAATAATTTTTTATTTATTTATGAACATATATTGAATGCTATTTTAATTTTCATTAATCATTTTTAAATATTTGATTAAAATGATGAAATTTTTTTTTTTAAACAAAAAAAAAAAAACATTTTTATGTTTGATCAATTCGTATGGTTTGCATACACATACATGCATGTATGTATGTGTATGTGATGTCTGAGCTAATCTACTGAACACAACCATTTTTGTGCAATATGCGCAAACTGTCCGTCAACTAAAGCTGAATTTGAGCCAAACTGAGTTGACACAATGTCTACAAATTTTTTTTTTTCAATTTTCCCTGTCTCCAACTAACCTATGAAATGTTTGAAATTTTGACGATGTGTGTGTGTGTATGTGTATGTATGTGTGTGTGTGTACACATATAATATATTACATACATAGATTAAAGATTATTATTATTACTGATCATAAGAATGATTAGCGTTTTTTGTAAACTACAGCAAATTTATGTTATATTTATATATTGAAAAATATTTAATTTCAACTTTAATTTAAATATTGCATTTGAATAAAAGAAATTTTAAAAAAATTCAAATATACACCAAAATCAAAAACAAAACAAAAAAATAAATAAATAAAAGAACGTAATAAAATTTTACATCTGTTTATTGCAATGAGAATTTTCCTTAATAATTTATTTCATTTATAAAAAATATTTTATAAGTTTAAACATTTTATAGTAGTTCTTCTCATTCAATTTATATCCATTTTTAAAGTTTTTATAAAGAATTGATAGAATTTTGAAAATACGATAATTAATCATATCTAACTGTTAGCAACTCTTTCATTTCCGTCTATTCCCCCTTTTTTTTTTTTTTCATTCATCATCTTTCTATTATTTCCAATAATTTTCTCTTATCTTATTAACCTCACTTATCTCTTCCTCTTAATTACAATTTTAAAACTTTTCAAATATTTAATATAAATTACACACACACACATACACTCTAACTAATAAGTGATTTATTTGTATATCCTCCATTGTTTCATCAACCTTTCCCTTATTGTTATCTTATCAGTGTCTCTTTTTCTTATCATTTAATTTTTTAAACTTAAAGAGGAAATAAGGAAATGAAAAAAGAAAAAACCCTTTTTTTCTTTTCTTAATGCAAAATGAAACAATGAAATATTTTCTTTATACATTAGAATAAATCAAAAATTCACTCTCTTTTCATAAATTATTAAAATTTTAAAAGAAAAAAAGAACAATATTAAATAAATAAATAAATGTTTCAAAGAAAAAAAATAAAGGAAAAAATCCCCGTTCTCTCTCTTTCTTTCTCCCCTCCTCTCCCTCTCTCTATTTTCCATTTTTTTTTGATTGTTGTTGTTGTATTAGGAAATTTGTTCAAGTCTATCCCACCAGGGGTGGTCTCGTGTCACCAGCAACATGTGGCAACGATTGGTACTATCGTCACTGCGACATCTCCTTGATGCCCTTCAATTCTTCAATTTTTTAGCGCATTTCTCATCATAGCAGCTGCGGTAATCGGTAACAAAGAAAAACGTTTTTAGTACGACCTATCTTAAAATATATATAAAAAAAAAAATGTAAAAATTTGAAAATTGGAATTGGAACTTAACAGATTACAAAAATTTTAAATGTAAGTAATATATAATATAACCGTAATTTTATTTAATTAATAAGAAATTCATTAAATTATTAGAAAAAATTAAACTGTACAAAATATAAAAATAACAGTTATTTTCAAAAAGCATAAAAGAGATACACTAATCAATGTTTGTAAATATTATATCTAAGAAATTAAGTAAACTAATTAATCAATGATGATTAAAAAAATTAAGTTAATATAAATTTATATATTGTATTTTAAATTATATACCATAAACGATTCTCCAACATATATACACTTGTGTTCAGAAGTAAATGATCAATCTTTTTCCTTTTTTTTTTATAAATTTTAATTATTGAAAAATTTCATTTTTATTTCCTAAGCATTACTTTTAAGTATTAGATTTTTTTCTTTTTCTTGGAATTTCAAGTTATTAGTTATAATGCGTGTGACAGGTTTTATTTTTAACTAAAGCAAAATATTATTTAATTAAACAACATATATGTAAGGAATGGAGAGATAAAAAAAAAAGAAAATACCTTTTCTTTTAAATTTTAAACTTTTTTTAGTTCTAAAAGAACTTTTCTAGTCCTCAAAAAAAAAAAAAAACTTAAAAAATCAAAAAATTTTTCATCAAAATGCTCGTGTGTGGCCTTTTTCCTCATTTCTCACTTCGCAACAATTGTTATGCAAATGAATATTTTATTTATTTGTTACAGATTTATTTCTTGTACATATATACCTTTATATCACTCACACCTTTTCTCATTCCACATCATTTCATCTTATTACCTCTATCTATCTATCTATCTATCTCTCTCTCTCTCTCTCTCCTTTTTTCCTTGTAAAGGGTCAAAAGAGTTAATTAGATAGGTAGAAAAGTTGAACTGTCCAAAAAAAGAATGAAAGAAAGAAAGAAAGGAAGAAAAAAAAAAGTTTTGAAAAATTCTTTTCAAACATTCATCTCATCCGTTATTGGCTTTTCTTTTTTTATTTAGACCTCACACATAGTTTCACAGTATGATATACACATATATATGTATGTATGTGTGTGTGTGTGTGTGTGTGTGTGTGTGTCACATTTGTAGAAATAAATTAAATTTTATACTTTTAAAATTACTACTTATCTTACCTTATCTAATTAACTCCTCGTCATTTATTTTACAAACTAAGCATTTTTCATTTGGTTACTGTACAGAATTTACTTTAAATCCAATAAAAATTAAAAGAAAAAGCATAGAAAGGAAAGAAATCATAATCAATACAAACTATTACTATTATTATAAAATGAAAAATTAATAAAAAACTTTTTTAAAATAGATAATTATTAACTCATGCCTCCTTTTTCTCTCTCTCTCTCTCTCTTTCCCCTTTTTATTATTGAAATTTTAATTTATATATATGTATATATCATTATTAATACTAGTTACTATCAGATGGTTTAATAAGAAGAAAAAAAAAATACATAATACATCCGTTTAAGACAATTTGCTCAAATTTCCTTCGTTAATCAATCAACAATCCGAATAATGGAACGTTTTGCTTTAATTCATAATTCTTTGCTAAAGGATATCCGTTATCATTAAAAATGTTAAAATATTCAAACAAAAAAGAAAGAAAGAGGAAGAAAATATCTCAAAAGCGGTAATAACCAAAAGGTTGTATCATTTTTATCTTAACAAATCTTTCTTATCCTCATTTCATATTATTATTATTATTATTATTATCCTTCTTATTATCATTATATGAATTAATATTATCAAATAAAAATTTATGAAATAAAAAAAAAAAAAAGATAATATTAAGAAATGATAAATTATATTTTTTAAATTATATATATGTATGATTTTTATTTCTCCTCAATTTCAGCTACATTTCTTTCCTTTTCCTTCTTTTTTTAATTTCAGCATTTTTGCTTGCTTATTTATTGCTTCACCTTTTCTCACTCTTCCTTCTTCTTTTCTCTTCATTTCATTTTTGTTGCAAACAATGGTACCAGGGTACCAAGGCTGGTGGCAAACAAACATCACCCATACCTTTTTTTTTATGAAAAATTCACCGGAACAAAAATGTGGGATACGACGGGTGAACAGGGGTCGAGTACGATGGACATTACAAGGGAGGGAGAGAGAGAGGGAGAGAGGGAGAAAAAGAAGGAAACAAGGGGAAAACGATAAAAAGGGCAAAACGTAATTCATCCTCTCTCCTGTTTCTTTTTTTCATTTATTCTACTTTTTGTTTTTTTTTTTTTTTTTTATAAGGAAAACTGAAGAGTTAACCTCTTGTTCTTTTCCTCAATTGAAACGAGAAATTATAAAAAGAAAAACAGAAGAAAAGGAATGAATAAGAAAAAAAAGAGAGAGGAATGGAAAAGAAGAAAAAAAAGAGGAATTAATTAATGAATTAAAGTAATTTCAAATAATTCAAAAGAAGATTTGATTTTAGTAAAATTAACCTACTAGTAAAACTACTTACTACTCTTCAAACTACCATTACCATTACCATTACTATTACTATTATTTATTACCTGTTGATATCATTGGATATCAAATAATTACCGTTTTAAAAAAAAATTTGAAAAAAAGAAAAGAAAAAAATGCAATGAAGCGTGCGAAGTATATCGAACAACGGACAATAACTTCAAGAAATGAGGAACATCGATTACATAATATCTATTGTTGTCGTTTGATCGTTTGCATATTTCAGTCAAACATTCCAATTGGAAAGTTTTTTCTCATAGAAATGAAGAATAAAATACAAAAATTTTGCATTTCAAATGATAAATTAAATTTGTAAGGAGGAAAATCAAAAAAAAAGGAAGGAAAAAAGATTTATTTTAAGGAATAAAACGAACTTAATTAATCAGTGAAACTTTTTTTGAGGAAATTTTAAAATCATATTCCAAATGTATTGGATTATATTTGAATGTTCTTCTTTTTTTTTTTTTTTTTAATTTACTGATACAAATAAAATTGTTACAAAATCTTCAATGATATAATTTTTGAATAAGTGTATGGTTTTTTTTTTTAAATAAAATTGCAATTGGTGCAAAGTTTAAGCAAGAAAAAAGCGGTATATATATATAATATATATATATATTTTTTTGATGATTTAATGAAAAATTCAAATTCTATTTGTGAATATCGTTATTGGTATTCATTTAAATGAAATATTAAAGTAAGCTAACCCATTTGTATCCGATGTGCTGCAATACGACTATCTTCGGATAATGGATGTAAGTCACCGTACCGGGCTGCAACTTGATCAAGAAAATCGAGTGCTGTTGATGTTGAAACATCCCAGTTTAACTTATTTAACACCAGTAATTCTCCTTGCTGAAGTAAATATTATGTTCAGAGTTTAGCCAAACTTCAATTTATCCATTATTTTCAACTTCAACTTAATGCTGAAAAAGAAAAGAGATCAAAACTGATGGAAATGATTACCAAAATTTGATCCATTCGTACTGCGCCATCCGTATAGTAAGCAATTCTTTCAGCATTTAACGGTTGCGGTGCTTTTACTTTACTTGAAACAAATAAACATGCACCGGCTAATGCTTGTAAATTGTTACGATGAAAAGACTGAACACTCAAGAAACGATCCACTAATGAAACTGCTAGTAAGAAAACATCGGGTTCACAATATTCTTCTTTACATACCTTAAAATGGTATTTCAAAAGTTTATTATTACTGGTTTGAAAAAAAATAAATAACTTATCGCTATAATTTCAATTCTTTTCTTCTATTCTATTATCATTTGTTTATATGTGCAGAAAAAATTTGCTCTAAATTATTTTAAATTAAAAACTGAAGTTTTCACAAGTAATAGACATGTCATAAATTAAAAATTCGAATTTTAGAAAAAAAAGAAAAGATGAAAAATTAAATTAATGATAATTTACATCATATATCCATTCAATAACTTGTTGCCGATGATGTGCTGTTACATCCATCTGAACACTTAAAAAACAATTTCCATGCATCGGTTTCATACTCTGTGCTTTGAACATACTCTCTAAGCAGCGATCATCCTGTAAATTTGATTATCAATCAATCAATCAATCAATTTCCATTAAATAATTTTTCTAAAATTTATACAATATAATTACCACTACAAATATATACCACTTTATCTTTTAAAATCGAACAAAAAAAAGAAAAAATGCTGAATTTTCAAGAATATTATCAAATCATTTCCGAATCATACACAGTGAACAGTTTTATCAGCTAATGGAAGAACACTTGGCCATTGAGCGATATTCAAACGATCTGTCGTTGATCTCTTCCTGCTCACTGGTATCTGTAGTAAAAACAGAAAATAGAATTTTTTCCTCTTTTTTAAACAGACTTTATAAAAATGAATATTTTTGATGAAATTTATTGAATGATTTGTTTGATAGATATTTGCATATAAGAAATTATTTATTTTTTTTTTTTTATTCGGATAATAATGTGAATTGACTAATGAACTTTAATAATTAATTAAACAATAGTTAAAAAAGTGATGACACTGCAAAGAGTGATAAAAATAAATGATAGATTTCTAATAGTTTTGAAAGATTATATTTGTAAAATTTTAAGCTATTATTATCATTATTATTATTATTGACAAAGATAACAAATCAGATAATCATTCCCTAATCGACAATAGTTATTATTATTCCAAACTTTGTTCATTCAATGTTTTGTTTGCATTTTTAGTGTGAACAAATTTTACAAACCTGTCCAAGAAGTAATTTCATCACATCGTTTGGTGATGACTGACGAAGACCTACATCACTTTTGGTGGCACGACGACGAAGCTGTTGTGTCTGTTGTTGTTGTTGTTGTCGTGATGATGGCGCTGATGTCGACGCAGAGTTAAGGCTTCGTGTTACTATTGGCGGCGGTGGTGCAGAAGTAGCTGGTGGCGCTATTGTTGTTGCGGTAATTCCTCCAAATCTTCCCGGTGCGGAAGACGTCGACGGTGACTCGGTGAGAAATTCGGTGCACCGAAAATTTTCCATTTGCTAATATTTGATTGATAGTAGCAAAAGAAATATATTTCAGCGTAATCAGAAGTATCAGAAGCTTCTTCAGCAGCTAACAATTTCTGCAGTTATAATAAATCAGTAATAAAGAAACGATAGAAGAAGATATTAGATTGACGTATGTGTGGAAGTCGACGCACTTGCGCCTTGTATATTGCGCATACGCGCTTAGGCGCCAACTACCACACACCACACTTATTTGATTGATAATTTTCGTCAGTGATATATTTTTGTTGGATGATGATGATGATGATGATAATTGTGGAATTTTGAAATTCAGGATACTACGCCACTGAAAAGCTAGCAATTTGAAAGTATATTCCCGAGTTATACGGCACTAAATGTTACGTATTTATCAACGTTAAACGTAGCATTATGACGTGCTCAGACAGTCATTGTTATTGCGTGCGAGACGATTTACATATTATAAAATGATATTGTGATATAATAACTGTCTATCATGAGACAGTGTTAAAAAAAAATATTAAATAATTTCACTTATCACTATGAAGGAAGCAAACTGATAAGGGTAAAAGGAACCATTCAATTTGTGCTTAAAATCTTACTTCATAATATTCTATCAATATTAGTTAATTTTAATTTTTTTTCGAGAGTCTAATTACCCTTAATTTATTGGTTAGAAATAATTAAATTATATCGTATTAGTAATATACGATAAGTAATTAGCAGATATAATTATGGAATTTGTTGTTTGCACTAAACGAAGCAACAAAAATACGTGCAGCATGGAGAAAATAATAAATAAATAGATTGACAAATAGAATAATCAAAATTCAAATTTAGAAATTTTAAGTGGTGCTTCAGAAGTTTTATTCAGGAGAAGAAAAAGATTAAACTTGAAATCGTATATGGAATTTATTTTAAGTCATTTAATATAATACATAAATATACAATTTTAGGATTCACTAGGAATGATATGCTGATAAGGAATTGATCAGAAGTTAAAACTTAAAGTCTGAAATTTCTTTTACACTTTAAATAAAAATTTCGGAATGTTTTTCATCAAAAATTGCATATAGCATTAGAAATTTCATTTTCCGAGCGAAAAAAAAGTGTAAAATCCCAAATTTCGGGTTGGGAAATAACAATAAAGATTACCTTGGCATTCTATTCTATTCTATTCTATAAACCTTCGTTCCGGTAAACCTAATCATTCAGAATGAGAAAGGTGCATTTTAGTTGTCCAACCGATGATCTTGCAATGCACGACTGCAACGAATAATTAGACGCGTTCATACATAATGCCCTATGACCCGAACGAAGTATGAATGTTGCCGACCCGATATATACCTTGTTTAGCAAACATGCAAATGCATGCATGTTGCAATATGTAGCATGCAATGTTGCAAATAGTACTGACAAAAAAAAAATGATAAACAGAGAAGTGAAGAGGGAGAAAGAGAAAGGAAAAGAGAAAAAAAGAGGAGAGAGCTAAGTTTTAAAAGTTATTAATTAAAAATATGAAAACTTATCTTTTTTCCCATCTCATTTATTTTCACTCTTTTTCTAAATAAAGAGACAAGCAGGTTTTTAATCCCAATTAGTAAATAAATACTATATATAAACTTTTCTAATTTAAAGTTTTTTTTTCTGAATTTTGCCGAATGATAAACATATAAATAAATCATACTTATTTACACCATACTTAATTAAAATTATATATGAATAACAATAATAATTGAATTTAATCAAAAGACGCAAACGACAGGCGAAAAAAATTAATCGATTATTAATAATATTATTTAATATTATACCAAAAAGAAAAAGAAAAATTTCACTGTACTCATAAGAGATCTTTCAATATTTTCAATCATATTAATTAAAAATTAGAAAACTTTTACAGTTAAATTAATGTAGTAAATAACAAATACAATTATTATTTCATTTAAATTACTTTAAAAAAAAGAAAAAGAAAAAAGGAGAAATGATAGAGAGAGAGAGAGAGGGAGAGAGAGGGAGAGATAAGTATATTTAAATAAATGTAAGAGATAATTTTGAAGTGAAACATTCAAATATTTTAATTTAAATGCAAAAGAAAAAAAAAAGGAATGAAAATAGAAAAAGCAAAGGAACACAATGAGCGATGAATATAAAAGGGATAAATGGAAAAGGTCAACGTTCAAACAGGGATAATAGGTTGAGAGATTGGGTCATCAGTGCTGGCCTCACGAGAAGAGAAAGAAAAGGGGAATAGAGTCAGTGCTAGGTTAAATAGTCTGCTCGTCCGTGTCGATAATGCTACCTCCGTTTATTAAATATTACTTACATATGCGTATGACGTTATCAGCAGTTACGTACACGTGTATCAGTTAGTTGACAATGACGTGACACTAGCTAGTGACCAGTACATTCTACTCTTTTGAACTTTTTCTTCTTTGAATTTCATCCAATCATAAATATTTGTAAAATAGGTCGTACTTACTCATATTGTACTTATTTCTGATATAATATAATGATAGTAATTATAATAATAATAGTAATGGGTACAAAAGTGATTACTAAACGCAGCGATAATGGTGATTCTTTCTGGACAGAACGGCAATAAGATTCATTCTAATGGGAAGATAATAATAATTCTTTGTAAACAAAGAGATAACAATGATTTTTCGTAGAATAAAGCTGTCATCGTGATAAAGTAAAGTTATCGTGAAATTTTAATAATTTTCCTTCGTTTTTCCTTTTTACATTGTCAGATTTACTCACTGAGAAGTATATACAAAGTATTAAATGTATTAATTAACAAAGAATTTCAAATGTGAGTAAATTGCATGCGAGGAAAAAAGATATATGAGAGAGTTAGTTTTTGTTTGCTATATTTTTGAGATTATTGAAAAAATTATCAAATAATAACTGATTATTTGTTCCGATAAAATAATGTAATGTACCGTTTTATACGAATTAAAATTATATGATTCTATGAAAATCGGTTCTTGTAATAATTAATTAATGCTTACGTACTCGTAAATCCTAAATTAGTTTAGCAAATATCTTCAAGTAATAATGACAACAACAACAACAATAGAAGCAACAATAACAACAACAACAACATTAATACCATCAGTTATCATTTCTATAACCAAAATGGAGAAATTTATATAAATAAAATAAGATAAGAATATAGGAATATACGAATATTTACAATTCATTCTATTTTTGTAACATTCAATTGAGAATTTACCTGTTTAAGAATAGTAACTGTCAAAAATATTTTGTATTAAAACATAATGAAATTGTGGAAATGAAGAAATATTCAAATATATGTGGTAGAAAAAAAAGGGAAAAAATACTTTATCAAATACTCGAATAATCTTTCAATTAAAACGAATTTAAAGAAAAGAAAACTAAATGTGACAGCTTATTAGAAGTATGAAAAGTAAAAGAACTTTTAAGTTATTAAATGGTATCCCATTAAGTGGTTTAATTCAAATATATATATTTGATGAATGAATATTTCCGATTTATTTGGAAGTTTCCGGAATTATTTTAGCATATATGTAGCATTTTTTATTACTTTTAATTTATTCATCAATTTGATAATACTGATATTTCACTATGAAATATGTATAGCAGAATTTATCATATTTGAAATGTTTTACAGCAATTCCGTCTGAATTGTGCAAATACTAATGATAAGAACGAAAAGATAATGCAATAATCGATAAATTATTTTTAAGATTATAAAATTTAATTTTTAAAAAAAGTTTTTTTTTTCAGATTACTATGCATATGATTATTTAACTATTTATGTGTAAACAAAGTAATAATGATTGCATGTTTAATATCATATGTACCGTTTTTCTTTTTTGCTTTTAAATTTAATTAATTAGAAATGAAGATAAAAGATGCGGAAGAAGAAAGAAAGAAAAAGTATATTTTAATCATTTATAATAAATTAATTAGAAATTTTACTAAAAAGATTACAAAATTTATTAAATTTTAATTTAAGAAAAAAATTTTTTTTTCAGTTATCATAAATGTTAAAAGAATTTTTTCAAATAAAGTTTTCTGTTTTATTATAATTCTTTACTAAAGAAAAATTTACAACAAAAAATCTTTATTGAAAAGTTAAAAACTGATAGTACCTTTTTATATATCTCTTCAGTTTATCTATTCTTTCTCCAAAAAAAGAAAAAAAAGATTTTCGACTCTATGAAATATTCTTTTTTTTCTTCTAATTGTTAAAAAAGAGAGAAAAACAATTGACAAAAAAAAATGTAAAATAACACAAAATAAAATTTTGGAAATATAAAAAAATGTTTCAAAATTAAGAATAAAAATGTCAAAATAATCTTATAATCTCACCGATTTTTCTTTTCTTTAACTGATAACTCTATGCGAATAAAGTCTAACTTACCTGTGACCTTTAACCCTTTGCTAAAGAGAAAAATTAATGAACTTAACGAATCCCACCATCTAATCTCATCAAATCTCCCACTCTCTTACATCGCCAATTTATTCATAGGAAAACAGCATGGATTTAATGCGGCCTCTGCTCTCAAGTAAGCCTACAAAATCTCATTGTGAATCCTTACAGTTTCTTGGCTCAAAAAAGAAACACAACAAAAAAACAAAAAAACAAACAAACAAAAAATTTTTAAGGAAAAAAAAAGAAGGAAAGAGACAAAGTATTAGCAAGGAGATTAGATGTTATTAGTTTAATTATTTAAAATTGATTTAATTAAAAGTTTAAATTTAAAATTGTTAATTTTGAATAATGGAAAGAAAAAAATTCTAAAAGAAATTCACAAAATTTGTACAAATTTGAAACAAAATTTACAAAAATTTAAGCATTTATTGAGTGTTTATTAGTTCTGAAAGTATCGATTCTTCATTTAATTATTATATTTTCAAAATAATTATTTAGATGTCAAAAAAAAAAAAAAAAAGAAAAACTAATATAAATAACATACTCAATTAGTTATTTATTAAAAGTTTTTAGATCAAAAAGAAGAAAA